TGTGTAATGCATTATTAGATAGTTGTTTAAAAGTGTTTAATTTAGAACTGATTAATGTAAATTTTTCCGTTTAAATCGTTGTTGTCTGTTTTTTACATGATCTATATGACCAATATTTATCAACAATTTTTTAAAATAAATGTTTAAATTTGATTTATAAATCCACAATTTCTTGCTATATTTTGTTTAGTACTTAAAGATATAACACTCCAAAATCAACACATTTAAAATATCCTTCTTTTCAAACACAGATATGTATAAATAAGAAGTTTATTTAATATTGTAAATTTTAAGTTTTTTATTAACTATTTTCTATAAAAACCCTTTGATGTTAAATTTTTAAATATGTAAAATAGTCAATTTATATGAACACATAATACATTTTATATTGTCAATCGACAGTGCAAGCAACAGTTAAATGAATGTTATAGAGAAGATACAAGAAATATTATTTCATGCTTTAATTTATTAAGCCAAATGGTTTTTACTAAATACATAGTTGAAACTTTAAAAGTAAAGGTGGCGCTATCAGGTATTTCGAAGCGTATTATCTATCAAGAATTATAAACAAAAAATATTTTTAAATGGCAAAACTTAAGTTTATAAAAAATTGACAGAATAGAAAGATTTAAATAAAATTAAAACGCTTCTTCAGATAAAAAAATAACAGTGTTTGTCAAAAAAATATTTTTAACTGCTTTTTAATAAAAATGTTTAGTTTTTTGTTTTCATTTGCTAGATCTCATCAAAGGCGATCTAATCAAATTATAAACTTTGACAAAACTTATTATTGTAAGACAAATTTCATGAGTACGTGAATTTTTGCACAACATATAAAACAATACAATGTTCGCATCATCACACAATTCCCTACAATTTTTACGATTTAGATATTGATCAGTTGTTGAGCTGTTAATAAACGTCGTTTGTCAAACACACAATTTTATACCTCATCAAAAAGACCAAAACATAAGCAAATATCTTTTTTTACAACCCCAATGGATCTTTATTTAATTTCTGATATAAAGGATGATACATCAAACATTGAGAAATTTATAAAAATGTATACATTATCAAATATAGACAATAGAATAATACAAGATAATAATGTGGCTAACAACCTTGTAAGTAATCTAGGATGTATTTTGTGTAAAAGTACAGAAAATACAAGAATCTTAATATGCACCCAAAATAAAATACAAGAAGATGTTTATTTTAAACTTTTAAACGCCGCTTTTACAGCAAAAAGGTTTAACATTCGTATCGATTGTTTAAGCATCGTTAATAATCCTATTCTAAGACAATGTGCTATTATAACAAAAGGATTGTATATTAAAAATACACTTAAAGGTTTAATAAGTTTATTAAGTAATAAACAAAGCTTAAATGTAATGTCTTTTAATGTAAAATGTATATGTCATAAACAAGATGTTTTAGTAGGTCTTACTTGTCCTGTATGTTTGGGTGTATATTGTAGATTTGTACCGGTCTGTAAAAGATGTAAAACAAAATTCAATTTTATTAAACTTTAAAAACACTTTAGATATCAGTAGTTATATTGTTTCTTAATAAATTAATTGCTTCTAAAATATTTTTAGAATCTTCATTTCTATTAACAACGTCTTTTAGGTATCTATTCATTTCTTCTAATCCTTCAATATTAACTTTACTGATACATTCCATGCCAGTTTTTTCTATCAGTTCATTTATTTTATAAAAATTAAGCTTTAGTGAATATTCTATAATGTTATTGACCTGCTTATCTAAATACATTCTAGTAAATTCTTTCAAAATATCTTCTTTACTACTTCCTTTAAAGTAAAGGTGTGTTCCAAATAAATTTGTCGTAACAGCATTTTTAAAAAATAAATCTGTGTTTCCAATAACATTACTTAATACATCTACATATTCTGATAATTTATAATCTATGTCCCATTTGTCAATTTCTGCTATTATACATTCATTAAATACTTTACAAACCTCAGGAAATTTATCACTATAAATCTTTCGAATTTTATCCAGTAAAATTTTTTTATATTGATTTTGTAAAGTAATAATATTATTTTTAATATTTTGCATATTAAATTTTATTAATGAAAATAAAAGATTATCATTAATAAATATACTTAAGTCAGTAGCAATCATACTTTTGATATTTGAAAAATCGTATGTTACTTTTAAATTTTTAAACATCAACAAATCATAAATTATATTATTACTATCAAAAAAAAAAATATCAGTAACTTTTTTATCTGTAGAAATAAGTTTATTAAGAACTAATTGATATTTATATCTCAAAATAAAAGTATCTACGTATGTTCCGCTTTGCAATTCTTTCAATTTTATTTTTAAATTTTCTTCTAATTTCGGAAGTATTTCCTTGACTTTATTTTGATACAGTAATGATATTCTATTAAGCAAATATAAACACCCCGTGTTATCTAGATTTTTATAAACACTATTTGCAAAGAAAGCTTTTTCACGATTTTTAAAATTTTGTACATTGATATTATTTTTAATATCTTGTTGAGATCTATTAATCACACCGACATATCCCAATTTTAATGGATAAACAGTATTCTGTAAAATGGAAATACAATCAGTGCCCTTGTCCATTAAATCAATTTTAGTTAAAACACCGATAGTTCTAGAAAAATTCGGATCAACTTCTTTACATATTTTCAAAGCTTCACTATTAGAAATATCTATATTTGAATTAATAATAGCTAAAATAATCGTGTTTTTTGATGTAATATATTCTCGAATTATGTTTAATATTTTTATTTCAATATCTTCCGATTGTTTACCGATAGCTACTTTTGTGATACCAGGAAGATCAATAATTGTAAATTCTAAAGTTTCTAAAAGCCATATATCTATAACAATAGAATTCGAAGATATTTCCTTATCAGTTCCGCATATTTTATCCATCATTTTAAGTATTTTATTTTTAATCAATTGATTATTTTTTTTTAAAAGATACTTTCTCTTATCAATTTCAACACATTCTTCTTTAACTGCTTTTTTTAGATGCAATATAATCGGACATCTTGTAACGAGATTTGTCCCGCGTGGTAATATGTCTACATTTATTAAAGATTCAAGTACTGAAGATTTGCCACTGGATTGTGATCCTACAACAGTAATTGCTGGTAAATCCATATTTAAATTGTGAACACGATTATGTATTTGTTGTATTAAGTTAATTTCTTTAGATGAAATATTCATAAAGGGGTCATTTATTACTCGAATGTAAAAATAAATAATTATAATTGTTCTCTCTAGTGTTTAATGTAATAAATATAGTTTAATGAATTAACAAAGAAAATTTAATGATTTCTTTTGCATTTGTAGACAACAAAAATATTAATTTTTGGTGAGCGCTTTTTGGATATTGTAAATTATAACCAATTTGTAAGCAAAATGTAGCTTAACTGTAAATTAATTTATTAGTTATTAATAAAACTTTTTGTATTTTGATAATATATTTTTTATGATTTGCATTTACAAATTTTCTTAGAATGTTTCAACTAACTAAATAAAAATTGGCATATATTAAAAATAAATGTTTTGACGTGTATTGACTATTTACAATACAAAGTTTTTAAAATGACTATGGAAGGCCTAGAAATGAACAGCCGGAGAGGCCTCAGTAATGAAGATAAGAAAGTTGGAGAAAATAAAATAGTAGAAGTAGTACCGCAGAAAGTAAATGGATGACACGATCTGCGGAAGAAAAGCCAAAAATTACTTACACCCAAATAAATTTATAATTTACTGGCGTGTATTGACGGCGGCATGATTGAGAGAAATAAAAAAACATAAACATAAAATCTGTAATTCAAAAATTTTCAAACCATCTTCTAAAAATTTTAATAGATAAAAAAAATTAAATTATCATTGCTAGTTAGAAGGAACAATAAATATACATTTTTGACATTTAATTTGTCAAATAAAAATATACTTACAAAATTTTAAGCTGTTGATAATTAAAACTGCATTTATCAATAGCATATAATTAACATAGAATTTTACTTCTATAGTTAGATAACTTCTAGTATTTTAGTTACATTATATGTGAAGCAATATCATTTAATCGCTCAATTGCTAATAATTTTTATCTAAATTTATTAAATTATAAAAAGATGTTTAAGTAAAAAATTTTACAAACTATAATATTGACTTTATTAAAGATTCATTAATGTTTTTTCTACGTCCACTAAAGATAAGAAGTGGGAGTGTATCAAATGATATTCAATACCATTCTTATTCTTATAAGTCTTAATACAACCTTCAAAAGGACATTTAAATGGTTTTTTAATAGATACTAAATTTTCTGGATGTTTGTTTTTTAGATGTTGGTTGTATTCGACTTTATTTAAAAACACAACTGAACAAAATGCACATTGATGTGTCTTTTTATATTTATTATATAAAGATTTTGATTCTTTTTCATTATCTAAAATCTTATTATAAATTTCTGGCAAGGATTTTTTCCCTTTTTTACTCTTATCTTGTCTCATATTACCTTTTTTTGGTTTATTTTTTTTTCTTTTATTTTCTGGTAACATATTAGAAAGATTTGTTGACATCAAACTGTTATAAGCACTTTTTCTTATAACTTTTTTTTGTGGTTCATCAGAATTACATTCGAACTTTTTATTATCTACTATATCATTACTATGTTTATGTATCTTTTTTTCTTCAGAAAAAAAATCAACAATTTTTGTTTCATGTTTTAAAAAATTATCAAGTAAAGAAAAATTATTTATATACGCAGAAAATAAAAATAATTTGATTAAATCAGTATCAGGTGGAGAACCACAATTATAACAAATTAAATGTTTTTCTATAATTTTTTTTGGCGGTATAACAAATCCGCACTCATTAGAAAAATTCATCTGTGAAAAAAAATGTAATGAACTTGTATAATCAATGTTTTCTGCAATGCAATCGTTCATTTCTTCAAATCGAATATTTTTACTGTTTACTCTTTTATCGTCATTAGAAGACATAAGGGGAAAAAAATATTTTTTTTGAAAAAATTGTGAAATTAAATAAAAAACAAATCTGGTTGTTAGTATAAACTTAGGCTTGTAAAAAAGTTGTATTTTTATTACTTATTGTTAAAATAAGTTTTTAATTTTTTGGAAATTTTAAAAGCTTAATACGACCAGAAAAAAAATGTTGTGCAAAAAATGTATTTAATTTTATAACTTCTAATTTTTTTTATTCAATTTACCTATTAATAGTATAATCAAATGCCAGTAAACAAATTATTTAGCAACCTTAAAGAATATCGTATCGAAATTAAAGTTTTATTATTATTCACCCAAACAATTTATTTAGTAAAAATACGAATATACAGACAGAACCCAAAAAATTTTATTGTATTATGTAGACAAAAAGAACATGCATTCCAAGTGAATAATCAAAATTATCGTCTAAAAAATATAAGTAAAGTTTAACTCTTTTATGACAAAAGTAGGGTCTTGCCAAATAAATAATTTTAAATATTTTTAATTGTATCTAAAAATATTTTGAAGATTAAAAAATCACTATTTAATATAATAAGTATATTATTATCTTTATAAATACACATAGATATTGCAAAATATCCTTAAATTATTATATAATTTAATATAAAAGACTAAGAAGGAATTTTCTAGGATACTGACATTTTTTAATAGTTTTTGATAAAATTAAAATTCGAATATAAAAACAATTATGATTTATAATTTTTTTATGTAAAAAAATTGCAATAATTCGACGTTTATTATGTATAAAGCTTTTTTTTGGTCACTAAACTAATTTTATGCTTTATATAAAAAATTAAATATTTTGTTTTGTTATAAAAAATTTATCTAAGTATATTACGAAGAAAAAATAATAAATATTCTTATCGTTAATCTCATCCCATTCTTCTTGCACATTAACTATAATTGCTCAATTTGTTTGTATTAAAATATATTAACAAATATAGAGTTCAAAACTAAATTGGTGACACAATAATTTGAATAAATAACATTTAATAAACTTTTTTAAATGATTTTGTAACGCGTTGCAACTTAGTACCACAAAAGCTTATAGAAAAGAAATACGATTGAATAGCTAAGTTGAAACATTTGTGCAATTAAGGGGGCTTCAAATGAATTTTAAAAGTTTGACGCTTGATTCGAAACATTAACTTCTATTCTTTGACTATGAGGTCTAAAGGGCAAAAAATTAAAGACAAGAAGGAAAGATATTGACGCATAGACACATTACCTATAAAGAAGAGAAGACCGAGAAATATATACCCAAATAAATTTTTATTTAATCAATATCTTACTAGTTTTTTTAAACTTCGTAAATACAAATAATTTATACTACCAATATATAAGCGTAAATTAAAAGTTTTTATAATAAATATACTAACAGATATATTTAATTATTAAATGAACAGATTGACTGTTTTTACTTACAAATTTATTAAAGACTACATACCAAGTTAAAAAAATATTTTAGATCAAATTTGGGCTGTTATTTAGATTATATGTTAAAAATTAAGGTAATATACTTAATTATATAGTATTGAATAATTGTAATAATAAATATAAAATTTTTGTGTTTCGTATAGATTTTTGTTTTGTCGCAATATTAAATCTCGTATTTGATTTACATCTAATAAACACGTGACATTTACTAAAATTCTATTTAAGAATATTTTTTAAACATAAACTTAATATGTTATGAAATATTAACAATAATAAAGTTTAATATACATTTAATAAAAATTAACTCTTTTTTACAATTTCTCTTAAAATTTGGTAATTATTAGATCCTATAATAAAATCGTCCCATGCTTCAAAATTTATTATTTGAATAATTTCTTCACTCAGATCATAAAAATTTTCATTTGTTAGCTTAAATACTTCTTTAACTAATTTTGAATCTTTAGTCATACCATAAACATTTATGAGGACATACATTAAAAACTTTTTAATGTAATCATAAAAAAAACTTTTGCTTTTTTGCACAAAAATTAAATCCCATTTAAATTTTCGAAATGTATTGCGCAATTCTATAAAATGTTTATCTAAAATAAAATCCTCCATGCTAGTATTAAAAGTAAAAATATCAAATAAGTCATACGTACCCAACAGAGATGCATTAAGCTTCTCTGCAAATAGCATTTGTTGAAAAATATCTCGACCAACAGGTTTATTATTCAATAATAACTGTGAAGAAAAAATATAATCTTTTTTAATAAAAATCTTTTGTATCCCTTCGTATGAAAAAATGTTATCTTCATCTACTAGTATGTTATTCTCATTTACAGTAATTGGTTTCTTAATTTCAATAATTTTAATTCCATCATATAGATCAAATCTAAATATGGTGCATTTACCTTGTAATTTGATTGTACTACACATATTTTTTACAAAAATCAGAGGGATATGAATTGCAAAAAGCCTACGAAATAAAAACATTGCGAGGTGCATTATAGGGGATATTTTTTTTATTATATGATTATTTTACTTAAATTTGCAATTTTTTGCAGACATTTAAAGCAAAATATTTTAGGCAATCATTGTATAATTTATTCTTTTTTTGTGTATTAATTAAAAAACCATTTTTTAATTTAAAGTTGTAAAAAAAATCAGATATTTATTTATAATTTTGGTAAGTGTGAAAATCTTTAAATTGTATAAATATTTTATGTATTAAAGATTTTCTTTTAAACAAACATTTTTTTAATTCTATGTTTACTATACGTGTTCTATAATAATCTAATTAAAAATTACACAACAAATAGAAAAATTATAAAACATTTTTATTTTGTTGCTAACTGTCGATATTAATTAGTAAATTTAAATTAAGTAAAATTATTGATTTTTTGAAGGTATTTACATTAAAATAAAAAGATCTTTTTATACTTAAAAAACATCCTTTCCATGGTCATGTTTGCTTTTTGGTGCTTAAAATCGATATTGTCAATTTTTTTTTTTAACCTCTAAAATATGATTTTTAAAAGAGAAAGCATAATTAAGACTTTGTCTCGATTATGCTTTCTCTCTTAAAATTTTTTCAAAAACTTTTATAACAACTAAAATTAATAGATAAATAAGTTTAATAAATATTTTAAATTATTTTTTTCCTTCATTTCTTTTTAACATAAATCTTTATAAATATATATCAATTAAGATTTTCATTCTGCATCTCACAGAAATTGTCCTCTTAACACCATTTCAATTTTCTTCAATCGTAATGATATGTGCATTGGTTTTTTGATTAATAAATGGCTCAGAATGATTTACAGTTCTGTGTTCTTTAAAAAAGGTGCCAAGTTTGTTGTATCCTCTTCAACAACCATTAAAAACAATTGATTTTTTGTGAATGAATCTCTTGCAAAAAGCAGCTAATGTAAGACAATTACTATTTTCTATATTCATTAAAATAATTTTTCTTGATTTTCTTTCTGCCGCTCCAACTATCCAAGCCCTTTCTACTTTATGACCTTTGTTTTGCTTTCTTTTCCCGAATTTGCTTTCGTCGATCTCAACAACACTACATTCACCGCCAATGGTATTTATTTTTTTGGGATATAGACCAAATGCTTTTAGATCTCTCAATTTAGAGCATAAGTTGGAAACAGCAGCCAGATCAACATTAGATATTGTAGCAATTAGATCAAATGAGACTTCTTCTAACCACATGTCAAAAATTTTTATATTTTTAATAATCGAAAGATGAGCATTTTTAATGATTGTATCTTTAAAAATTGATAATCTAATTATACAAGAAGATAACACAAACAATAAAATTTATACGTTTTATTTTTTTTGTTTCATAGTTAAATTTATAGCATAGTCTGTTTTCATATAAGTTTTTAACAAAGTTTGCAATTTATTGATAAACTTTTTTTTCTTAAGATTTAGTTTTTAGGAGTTAAAGAAAAATAATTTTTTAGAATATCGGTTTTAAGCATTAAAAAGCAAAAAAATCCATTTTTTATCTATAAAATTAAGTTTTCATATATAATAATTTTTTGTTGTCTTTTTTGAGTTAATGGTTGTGTAAAAATTTAATTATTGATATTAGACTTAAAGCAGATATTATATTATTGCTAGATAATTCCAAGTTATGTTTGTAAAAAACATCTTTACTTGACATCAGATAATCAAGCATTTTCAAAGGTAGTCGGCCTGGGAAATAAGAATATCTTGATAATGTTCTATGCCCCACCTGGTATAACATCATGGATTTTAATTTTGATTAAAACGTCTCTGCATTTGTAGGATATATTTAAATTTCTGTGCCTTATAGCTTCTCGTCTAAATTAGTGTTAATTTATTTAATAAAAGTAATTTATTATAGATAAAATTTTTAAAATATTTATACAAATTATTTAAATTTCATATTTGATAACTAATATTACAGATAAAACTATCAAATCTGCTTTTTTTTGAATCTTGTCCTATAAAATAACTATTTTGTAAAAAGCTTGATGATAATTTTTAGATATTACTAGATTAAAAAAAAGGCTTTTTTTTAAATCAAAAAACGTTTTTACAAGCACAAAGCTGCAAAAATATGGTCATTTATACAAAAAAATATTTATTAAAATAAATGTTAGTTAAAATTTTTTAAAAAAATATATATGATGTATATTTTTGAAACGTAGAATTATAAGTTTTTTAACAAAACCAGAATGTCCTTTTCTTATTACGAGAATTTTTGCCATATACAATCTAGTTAATAATAAATCATAGTATAAATAAGGTGCAAAGTATTTTCAAAAATCTGCCTGTTTGTTTCTTTGGCTGTTCTTGGAACAAAATGCTATTAGCATAATTTCTTATAAAAATCAAATTTTATCCAGTTTTTATCCATTACAAATGTTTTAGAAATAATTTTTAATATTAAAAGATTAGATATATTTTATATTATTGCAACATTATTTCGTTATGATATGCTAAAAAGCAAACATCAGGCGCAGAGCCACATTTCCGGACATATATTACGAGGGTCCTTATAATATTTAAATAAAAAAAAACATAATTTTTATGATTTAATAGATACACCAGTATATCTAGCAAACTCTTCTTGTCTGTCCAAATAAATGAAAGTTTAAATCGTAATAGATAAAAATTAATTCTTTCAAATTAAACTATATTATTTTTAACAACACCCCACACCTTTTTTCTTCATATTTTATCTGCGACAAAAAATTTCAATATTATTTGTATCTTTTTGACATTTGCTACATGTAATAATATTTGATTAATAAAATTATTTTCTAAAAAATTAATAAAATATTGACAAACAAAATTTTGCTCATTACATTTTCTAAAACACCCTCGTATCCATTCGTGGGGGCTAAAAAATTAAAAAAACTTATTCTTTAAAGCCGTATTTGCGGACATAATTTATATTTGAAAAAAACGGGCCTGCACCGACCCTATGCATACATTGTTTTGTAAATTTATATCAAAGAAAAATTAAAGTCTTGTTGAACAATTTATATGAAAATACATGAATAAAAACGCCTTAAGTAACCAAAAAAGTCAACTATTATAGCTAATTCAAAGTTTTTAGTTTTTAATTATTAGCAGTTACAATTTAAAGAACAAGGTTTTACATTTACTATGAGTTTAGAAGTTATAAGATACTTGAATGTGTAAGAATTAAGAAAAAGGTTTTATTGAAAAAATAACTTAACTTTTGAGAAAAGGTTGACAAAGATGAAATAAAGATGAATTAGTTATAAAAACCAGGCTAAATTGACTCAAAATTGCACAAATTTAAATTGACCTTAACTAAAATTTCTTAACCCATATTTTTTAAGTGCTAAACAACGAGGGCAGTATGAAACCATAGTAACTACAATAAATGCATGTATTTTTGCAGGGGATGCTTAAAAGTTGGCGAAAACATTAAAATATATAGTTTTGCAACGGCAAGATGCTCTAATGGGATTTGTAATTATAAATTTACAATTATAAACTAACATTTTTTAACTTCTTTAAACTAAGTGCTATTATTATTATTTAATTATAAAATTTGTAATTTTAATTTGTTCCTTCATGTCTTATCGCTAGATCTACGAGTATTGGTGTTGAAAAAATCAGTATCCTATTTAACAGGTTTAATCATGAAGATATATTTTATGGTTATTTAGATTTACTTAAACTTGGAGACTAAGGTAACATAATTGAGATAGATGAAAGCAAATTTGGCAAACGTAAATATTACTGTTGCACGAGTAGATGGGGTATGTGTTTTTGGTGCAGTAGAACGATCTTACACGTAGAATATTAATTTTGCATGTTGAGTGTAGAATAAAACCATTCTTCTGTTTATGATAAAAAAATATTTCATCACTATACTATTATTTATTCTGTTTTTTAACGAACATATTGTAATCTTAATTTATTTTTACAAGCATCCAATTGTTAATCACAGCATTGAATTTATTAATCAATCAAATAATGTATATACCAATACTAAAGGGGGTAATTGGTATGGGATTAACAGAAATTTACCAAAAGAAATCATAGATCAAAATTAATAAATCTTATCTATTGTGCTTTAGCTTATTAGAAAAAATAGTAAATCTATATTAAATTATATATTTATTCTTTTCCTTGCTCAAAAATTTTTAATTTACAAATTTTATTAAAAAAAAGTTCCTTTTTTCTTAAAATATATGCATTAATTGTAATTACTATAGTTTCATACTACTTCTCGTTGTTTAACATTTTAAAAAGTAAGGGTTTAAAAAATTTTAGTCGGGGATACGTAAAAATTTGTGCAGTTTTGCTCACTTCGTCCAAAAATTATTTAAAAAACTCTAAGTAGCTTGTTGGGTTTTTGTAATAGTAAAAATGTTATTTCATTTCATAATAGATATTTAATTTATTATTTTAATAATGTTTTATAAAAAATTTCTAAAAAGAAGGGCAATGAATTTTAAAAGGAACCAAAAAATTTATAATATGAATAAAAACAGTTTTAAAAAACAAACCTAACAACAAAAGCCTTTAGGGCTATAAATAAAAATGGCAATGTTTTTAGGATAATTTAAATACATCTATTTATTTTGCTGTGTTGCTTATAATCGTACAATAAGTGAATTTTTTAATCTAGCTGATTCGGTTATAATAAAAGGTAATATTTTTAATTTTGATGGGTGAGACTCTTACAAAGAATTTGATAAATTATATTTATATAGACAAGGGGGTGTTATCACAAGTATAAGCCTGTTATTCACTCACCGAAGAGCATATTTAAAGCGCGATCTCATACATTTAATATTAAAAATTTAAGGTAGATGTGACCTAGCATTGTGCATAGAAAGGAGTTTATCTTGGAATTTAATGTATAAGGAAAGACATGCAAACAACAAATTTTAATTGTCAATTTAATTTTGATACTTTTGAAATTTATCTTATTAATGGGTGGGTAAAGAAGACTTGCTAACTTTTTGAGGTTGAAAGAGTAAACTAATTTTAAATTTTAGAATATGAAATACGTAATTGTTAAATAGCTTTATAAAAAATAGAAAATCTGCAGCTAGCATTTTAATTCATAAAGCAAAATTATAACTTATACATTCGGTTTTTGTATTTACAACAACTGAAATAAATAAAGACTTAAAATAATGTCCTAAAATTCAATTCTTTCTGTTGTTATAAAATAATAAAAAAACTTTTTTAAATATTAAAACTGGTAAAAATGGTTTGTAGAAAATTTTATACATCATATCTACAACGCCTGAAAAATGGTATACAGTTAGTATAATTGGTTTCTTTATTAACGAATAGACCACATTTTATTAAGTTAAAAGTTTAATCAAGTTATTTCATAGAAATTTTTCTTTATAAATAGTTTTATGCACAATTCAATTTATTTTTTTTCCACAAAATTGTTCAGCACCGCAGAAGTACGGCTGTTAACAATTATAATAATAACTTCTGTTATATATAATAATTTTTATAAAAGTGTTAAAGTCAAGGTGTATGAACATGTTTCAAAATATTTTAAATATCTTTTTACCGATAATATTTGCGCTTTTTTATACATTTTTATTCTTTTAAAATAAAAATATATTTTTTAACTAATTTTTATGATCTATCATTAAAACGAAATTTTTTCTTTGGTGAGAATACGTAAAGGAAGCACCGAGACAATATTTCTGAATATTTTTTTGTTTTTAAAAGCGTGTAAAGAGCTGGGTAGATTTCTTTAAAAAATAATACATATTTTATAAAATTTCGTCACAGCACCAGTTTTATTGTACATCATTAAAGTTATAGAATAACTTTATTCATTTTGATTTTATTATATTATATAATAAAAATTTGCATATCAAAAATAATTTATATGAATTTAAATAAGACAAAATTGCTTAAGTATTATCAAAATTTAATTAAAATAAGACAGTATATTCATAATTACAATAACTTAAAATCATTTGTAAATTCATTAATAATCGCCTTTAATCCTGGACCAATAATTACTAGTGCAGGTATATTATTTTTACTAATATGTTTGACACATAGTATGCCTTTTTTTATAGAATTATTATATGCTGATAATATTTCTTCGCTTGAACCACATAAAACAATCTTAGCCTCGCCACCTTTCTTCCATTTGTTGTATAAATCCTTTTCCTTTGATAACTTTGTAATCAAGTTTATAAAGCATTCTTTCATAAGTTCTAGGACCATTTGGATCTCATTTTTTATTTGTTTATTTATCAAAATTTTAAGTACATAGTCTCCCTTAGGATATTGTCTCTGTATCGCTTTCTTAGTTTTTATAAGCCTGTAAATTATACAAAAAATACAGAAAACTGAAATAGTAAATAAAAAAAAGCTAATCATTTAGGGGTAAAATAATACTGCTAGTTTCTTAAGAAAAGCTAAAAAATCAAAATATAACGAAGAAGCAAAAGTTTATATTTATAATCTATTTGTTGGGTGTAAATTACCATAAAAAATTTTACTTTAATAAAATTGATCCAGTAAACTAAACACAAAGTGGTCAAAATTACAAATCATTATGGAATAGCGATCATATTTTCTAATTACTGTTCTGTTTTTGTCTGTGGCACCAGAATTATAGAAAATTCATTAATAATGGCTGGCCCTGCCAATACTGCTACACTATAGTATATATACGTAAAACAAAGATAGCATCCTTATGTTTGCATGTTTTTTAAAATAACACCTAAGACAGAGAATTATATCTGAAAATTATTGTAAACCAATATAAAAATTGTAGGCTAGAAAAATTAGTTATTTTAGTCTTTTTTATAGAAACAATGGAAGCTTTTGTCGTTGAAATCTTTTTATTTTATAAATCAATTTTTAAAATTTTTTAGTCTAAAATTTAAAAATACAAAATGTGAAATTTAAGTATCAAAATATATAACCTTTCAAATACCATTCTTTTTGATTTCTGATAAAATAAGACGTATTATTACTGCAATTTAAAGAGCTCTTTTTCTATACCTTATGGCTGCTTATTGTTAAATCGATGATTAATTACTTTAGTAGTATAAGTAAGTACATTTATTGTTGGATCATTATCGAAAAGAGCGTAATATACTGTTTATATTGTTTTATTTTTACAATATATCTTTCAGAGATCTATTTATATAACAGATTACTTGTTTAAATTGATAATTTGTTTATTAAATAGCAGTGATGTTCTATTAGGAAAAGAAAAAAACAATTTTATTAAAACAATTCCTTTGAACGGACCAGATATTCAAACATCATCAATTAATTGATTCTTAGACTTTCCACTTCCTAAATATACTTCTGTTACTGTGTTCTGTTCAATCAAATGCTTGTCTTTTCTCTGGAGATATTTTTTATTTAATTTTTTTAAGAAATTATTTGTTAAATAGTTGTATATTTAGAATTCTTAATATCTACAACGTTTTAAATACGTATTAAATTTAGCTAGCTATTCTTGTAATAAAGCTTACCTTTAGAAATTCGATTTAGATATGCTTTTTTTCAACACTAGATTGTATAGTTTACAGCTGACCTTGTAATTTCAAGGGGCACGTGGTTTTACATATTTCTCACATTTAACACGATCAAATAAAAATAAATGTGTTTATTTTTTAGAAAATTATTGTTCACCGCCAAAACATCAATTCCCGTGCATTGTTGTCTCTAGCTGCAACTACAAAATTGTATATTTGTATTTGCTTCTAAAATTCTTAAAGGCAAATTGTTTATTAAATAAATTTACAATGATGATGTTCGACTTAAGTTAAAATAACAGAAAAAAGTATCTTAATTTCAAAAAATAAATAGTGGTTTTTGTTATTGATATTTATCAAAAAAAATATTTAATAAAGTTTTTTGTGATTTTTAATCACTGAATATTTTGTAAATTAATGATTTAATTAAAAATATTATTTTTTCGTTTGAAATTTTGGTGGGTAAAAGTAAATATTTCTACTAATAATTATTAAATTACACGTGGTAAACAATACCTAGGTCTTACAAATATAATTCTAAGTATTTTTTTGTTTAAATCTTGCCCACAATTTATAAAAAATCAATCCAAAATGTTTATTAGATATGAATGTAAATTTTTAGCCCTTAAAATGTTACTCGCAATGTTTTTATTTTGCAAACTTTTTGCAGTTGATATTCAGCTAATTGCTTTAAAAAATCTGTGTAATTCAATTGGGTTGGATGGTAGTTGCATCATATATAGATTTGATATATATGATGGAATTAAAAAGATTGTGATTGAGGAACCAATTATTATTAATGAGAATAATATACTAGTGGATGAAGAAAATATTTTTGCATATAAAGGCATACAAAAGATTTTTATCAAAAAAGATTGTATCCTTTCATCTCAGCCATTATTGGATAATAAACCTATTGACCGCGATATTTTTCAACAAATGCTATTTGCTGAGAGACTTAATGTTAATTTATTAAGGTTTGATACTTTATCCGAAATATTCGAATATAATGTAAAACATGGAACTGGTCCCTTGCCCAATTCCTTACTTGAAATTCGTCGTGCAATTATGAAGTATAGTCATGATTTTACATTTTTGGAAAATGATAAGAGTGTTTTTTTAAACTTAGTACGAGGATTTTTAAATTATGTCCTTAAATATGCTTATGGTATGACCAAAGATTCAAAATTAATGAAAGAAGTGTTTGAACTAACAAATGAAAATTTTTATAATCTGAATGAAGAAATTATTCAACTAATAAATTTTGGAGCGCCTGACGATTTTATTTTGGGACCTGAAAAATACCAAGTTTTAAAAGAAATTGCAAAAATATATTAAATATTTTGTAACTATATGTTAAAATTTATTTTTAATTTACTACATAACTGTCGTGTAATTTACCACATGACAATTATTTTAATTTATTTCACTTAAAATATTTTATTTTAACTCATCAAAATCACAAAAATAAGAAAATAATTTAAAAAGTTTTCACTTCCAATTTTTTCAATGGCTGTAACACCAAAGTAACATATTAAATTTTTATTAAAAATTTATTAAACATAAGCTGTTTTGTATGCCTTGACATGTTAAGTGTTATTCAAATTAAGTGTGCATGATTGTATAATTATGGCTTTTAATAAGTATTAGGATCACTTACTTAATTTAAATTATTATTTTAATTACACTTCCTTTTAATTTATACAATTTAAGAGTATATTGTACGATACAAATGATAAGTATAATCTTAAAAAAAGTTTTTATTTAGATAAAAAATTTACGGAGAGTTGCATGTTTATTAAATCTACATCAAATACAACATCTATTTTACAACAGAAATGTTGTTTTATTGATTCTCAATACTAAATAACCAAGCACATTACCTTAATTTTTAGCACGTAATCTTACAACAGTTTATTTACATTAATTTATTTTTTTAACTTCTATATAGTTTGTAGTAAAATGACATAATTTAAAAATTTACAATTTTAAATATTTTCTATAATTTTATTTTTTATAAATAAAATTGTCAAAAAGAAGAATACAAAAAAAAATTCATTCAAGAGATTATTATAACAATAAAAAAACATGGTTACCAATAAAGAGTCATTAATTAAAATTACTTAGAAACTTGGTTTAAAACGGTTAAGATGAGCATAGTACTTTAGTTTTTCACATTTTAGCTTGCCGTTTAAAATTTTTAACCTAAAAAACAAAATCAAAATTAAAGAGGGAGAATATAAACATGAACAGAAAATACACATTTTGTATTCTTAAAAGCAAATTTAATATTAAAATTATAATTTTTTAATTAAGATAAATATAAACATTACTTTAAAATTATTTTAAATCTTTTTTAAATACTTCTGATTGATTGTTTCTTTTAAATGCAAAAGTTCCAAAAAGTAAATTGTGTCTCTTTCATTACAATATCTCATACCCACATTCACCTTAATTAAAGCCAAGGCACCACCCATCGTATTAGTATGAACACCTGTAGCATTGTCTATAAAATTAATACTATAATTAACCGTGCGGTGTAAATAACTTTCTTTTCTTTATGCAAATTGTAATAACCTTTTCAACAATCTGTATAAATAATTCTGCCAAGAGTACAAATTTTTTATTAAACCTATTAATGTTTCTGATTTTCTATCTTTTAAATTTCATAAGACTATACGTCTTGCTGGTAATCGTTCTACCATGCCTAATACCTAAAGACCTTCTACCCTATGGCCTCGATGGTATTTACGCTTGTCAAATTTGAATTCATCTATTTCCACCGTCACGCTAAGGCCACCTGTTTTAATGTTACCAGCAATAAATTTTCCTGTTCTTTTTAAAATAGGCCTATACTTTTCTTGCTTAAACACGTCAAAAATTTTTTAATCTTAAAACCAGCGTAATTTATGTATAAAAAAATTACTTGTGCTATATTTAAATGGTGTAATTGTGGGGTAGCGAACTCTGACTAAAGTATATTTCTAATAAATTATTTATTAATAAGCCCTTTTGGGCTAACATCTTGTTATTTTGTTTGTTATCTCTGGTATTCGTCACATTCATCCGCATCTATTTCTCCTTTTTTTTGAGAATTACAACTTTATTTATCGTTAAATTTCAATTTAACAGTTAATTTTTTTGTTAATAAAAATGGTAAATTAAATGTAAACAAATATTAAATAAATAATAAATTAATTAAAAAAATAAAGGTAAACAAACGAAAGTTAAAAATGTAGTGTTATACCACAGTAACCAAAGAATTTTTGCATAATAGAAAGATTTGTTTTTAATTAAAGAAAATTCCTTTCTACAACCTCATGAAGTACACCTCACCATATTTGATAACTTCTTTCTAAATGACAACTTATCTAAACAAAACCTACACAGACGTTGTTTTATAGCCTCATATAGAGATAGAGTGTTATGTAAAATATTTTCAACTTGTTCATATCCTACTTAATTTTAATTTTGTTTTTTGGCGTAAAAAGGTTTTAAACGGCAAGCTCATATGTAAGAAACTAAAATACGCTTTAGTCATTTTTTATACGAATTATAGTTCATTATGTTGTATATCTAAATTAAATAATTTGAACGGCCATTAATCACATTTAGTTTTAATTTTGTAATGCTTTATGACGCAACTATTGGAAGGCTAGTTGCTAATAATATTTAGAAAGAATATGATTTATTAATTTGAGTATTATCATATTTTAAAATAAACCCATGCTTTCGGATAACCATCTTCTACAAGTTAAAGGCAACCATACTGAAAATAGGTTTCTAATATATTGTTGATAATTCGTTTAATGGGTTACTTGTTCACAAACCCGCCAGTTAGTCTTTTGGCCGTGGTATTGGCTTTGGAAATGATATTTGTTTGGTTTCGGTTTTTAATTCTCATTAAAATTTATTTTTTTAAACATTTTTAAGTTAAAACATTGTTTTGAATTTTAACCAATAACTGTATTGTGGTATCAGCATAAGACATAAGGGATACAATACTTTAATTAAAACAAAATTTCAACATCTGTTAACAAAGCTATAAAAAAAGAAGAGAAGTATAACAGGATAGAAGAAAAATTATAAAATATTACTTTTTTAAATCGACAATAAAAATTTAACAATAAAAAATTGCACAAAAATTAAAAAAACTATTTTTGTCTTTTCAAACACATCCTTGATAGAGCGTATCAAAAAAATTTTTTAAAAGAAGCGGATCATCACGGTAAATAAATACATGTGGTAAGAATAAATAAAAAAATAAAAAAAAACAAAAAAAAAATTGCTAATAAAGATATTTAATTGCAAAATAAGAATTCTGCGCCTAAATGAATGTTCAATAAATATGACTTTTGTATCTGTGTTAAATTAAAAATTCTTGGTATTTAAAATATTGATATAAATAATTGCAATCACGACATTATCTAAGTATACTTCCTAGTGTTTAGAAATAACCAACTGCTGTATGATTTTCAATATATTAAAAAAATTATTTTTTATTCTAAATTTTGACTTTTGCAATGTAAAAACAGTATGAAATGCTGGAAAAAATTAAAAACATATATATTTAAAATGAATTTCAAAATTAACATTAAAACACTTTTTAATATTGTTTGCGTATTATTCCTATTGTTGTGCACAGTACCACCAATAAAAGTAAAAATTGGTGCAACTATCTCCTTTTTCGTTCATCCTGCGATATTACTGGTTTTAGAATGATATATTAAACATACTTATTACACACTGGCGTAAAATAGGATGGAAAAACTATTTAAGAAAAGTTACATAAGTAAAAGATGGTTTTGACTAAAAAGCGATCTTTCACAAATCTCAAGCTGTAAAATGTTTTTGTCCGGAACAAGCGTCGTTCCGACCTAGGTTCCCTCAAATGGTAAGCTGTTATTTATAGACGGTCCTGCAGGCACAGGTAAAACATTTTTATACAAGATATAACAAGATTTAAAGCAGCATAGGGAAAGCAACAATATCTATAGCTACTACGGGAATTGCAGCAGACTTATTAGACAATGCTATGACAGTTCATAGTTGCTTCAAGTTACCAGTTCCATTGAATGATAACTCTGTATCTAGAATCAAGCAAG